GGATTCACGAGATTTTTCTTTTTTTTTTTTTTTAATTACAGATCTCGCTCCCTTCGGATTCAGTCGCTCAACGTCGACCTTTCACAATGGCCGCTCGTTTATGGTAAGTTTTAAGCAGCAGGGAAGAAGGAATATCTTTCCTGATTTAGATTTGTAATTCGCGAGACACCGTTTCGAACCATTTTCTTGGACGAGACACGGATCTTAAATCATACCTATCCACGCAGGATTTCCGACATTCGCGTCTTCGCCTCTCTTAAATCCTTCTTATCCGATGAATTATGCCGGCGTTAAAACCGTCTAACGAATTTCGTTGAACAAGCGCGTGCGCGTACGCGTTGGAGATGATCCAACGTGGTAGCGAGCGAAGGAATGCCGTCTGCGACACGGCGACGAGGGGAAAAAAAAAAAAAAAAAAAAAAAAAAAAGAGGAAGAAGAAGGTTAGCGGAAGGAAAGCGAAGAAACGTGTGGTGGTCGTTAAATCTTTCGGATACCGCGGCATCGATGAGCCAGTGTTTCCCAACCAATCCTTTTATTCTAATGAGTTAATTGTTATTGCAATCATGAAAGATCTTATAGAAATTTTAGTAAATAGAAAAAGATATTTATTAATGTATTTATAAAGGATTATGATTCATAGACATTATATTTTAGGTCAGTTAAGATAATTGAAAATATTATTGTTGTATTTTAAATGTATTGGTATGTTAATGTTTATTTTTTATGTTAGTAACTATGAAAGTAAATTTCTATAGTTTAATATATCTATTAATTAATAAGAAGATGTGTGTGTTTGTTTTCCATTTTCAATTTTTTCTTGTTATAATTTTTCTTTTTATTATAAAAAATGAGAAAATTTTTTTAATTATTTAATATTTAATAATATTCTTCTTTTTTTTATTACTTCAAAATAATAAATAATAATTTTTATAACAATTAATATAATATTTTTTCTTGAAAATGTATATTAGAAATATTTTGAAAATTAGATAAACTAAATTGTATAAATCCTATGGAATTGAAAATCATAGGATTTTTTTTATTTTATAGATTTTTTTTTTATTTATTCTTTTTTCTTTTTTTATTTCTTTTTTTCTTCTTTTTTGTTTTTTTATTTCTTTTTTCTTTAAACGGAAAAATATGTTATTATGTCAAAAATAATAATTTTTTCTTACGAATTTTTATAATTTTCTATTATTTTTCAATAATCAATATTTTCAAATAATAATTTTACTTGTATAATTTCAACATAAAATTTTTCGTTTAATATGAAAAAGAGCGAAAACATTTGAAATATTGAAATATGGAAATTTTTCAAAAACATCATTTAAAAAAACGAAATTAAATTTTATCCTGAAATTTTGAAAAAATGTTTTTAAAAAAGTAAAACAGATTTTTTGTGTATGTTGCTAATTTCAAATACAAATTATTACAAATAAATTGAAATTAATGCTAATTAAAATAATTCAAATTAATGTGAATTGTAAAATGATACAGTATCATATTTCATAATTTCAAAATTTCAAAATCTTGCAAAATTTAAATCTTAAATTTCTAGATAAAAAAATAAAGAAGACAAAAATTCTCATTAGACTAAAAAAACTCATTAGACTAAATCTATAATTTTGCTATTTCTGTGAAAAGAAAAGACTTCTATTATTTATTCCATTCTCACATAAAAATTTTATTTCATTATATATTCATATATATCATTATTTCAAGTATTGAAATATATTTTATATCATTGAATTATAAAATATATTTTATTAAATTCAAAATTCTATGAGAAAGAAAAATAAAAAAGAAATGTTTTTCTTTCGTCTGTTTAATACAATTATTATTGATACTCAATACATATAATCAAATTACAAAAATACTCCTTTCCATTTTTTATAAAACGAATTCTTGCATAAAAAAAATTTTCATAATAAAAATTTTCAAATTTTTATCAATCCTAAATCTCCTATTTCACTATAAATAACACAACAAATATTCATTTGTTAAAACGACAAAAACGACTTTTTCCCATCCCCGAACCAACATGTGGCGCCAACTTCCGCGTAATCGCGTAATTGGTAGCAGGTGTCGAGTGAAAGATTCGAGCGCGAGATCGTTCGCGAACGAAGAAACGGACGAAAAGAGAGAAGGTGGTTGCACGACACTGACGTGGGCAAAAGTCAGAAAGGGGGGAAGGATGTGACAGCAGCCGAATTGGCGACCGTCGTTGCAGTTGGCATCCGTGTCTGTGTCGCTCTCTATAAATAATTGGGGGAATCCCGTGGCGGCAGAAGAAATTACCGCGAGGTGAACGCGGCACGATGTCGTCGAAATATTCGCGCGACTTCTTCTTCCCCTTCGCCACCGCCTTCTTCTAATTTTGGCCGCGGCCGACGAAAACTCTTCGACCGGCGCGCTCCCGTCTCCTTTTTCTTTCACGGCCGAGAACGTCTGCCCGACTTTGCTCCAATTTCTATTTTCGACCGAGACGCCGAAACTTTCGGCGATAGATACCATTTCGCGATCCTCTCCACCGAAAATCGAGACGTCGGGGTCGTTGTCGCGGTCGGATATCGAGGCGAGCCGTTCGCCTCGAAAAAGATTAGAGTTGAAAGCAAGGCTGGTGGAAATAAAGTATTGAGGGAGAGAGGCATCCTCGAAGAGGATTGGACGGAGAATGTTAGAAGGAGTCGAGTTAGTGATTCTAGTAAAAATCATATCGATCGATACATGTTATTTTTTTTTAAATAATGTTGATGGGCTTATTGTGGGGAAACTATATTTTTTATTTATTTATGATTTGAATAAGTTTCTTATTTATTTTTTATTTATTTATGATTTAAATAAGTTTCTTATTTTAAATAAATTATTTTGATATAATATAGTATAATGATTTCTGAATTTACACATTCTTATTTTGAGATAAAATATTAAATTTTAGAAAAATTTTATTGTTATTTTTATTTCTTATTATATATATTTGAAGTATTTGAAAAATTTGATAAATAAATAATTTGAAAATAATTTATTTTAAGAATTTATATGTAGAAATTTTTTTTTTAAATAGATTTTTTACTTTTTATTTTGAAACAATTGATTTTTTTTTATTTTTTATTTCTGTTTTAAATATAAAATATCCAATCTTGCTTGGATTGCAAAAAATTTTTTAAATTTGTAATTCTTATTCGTCAGATAATATATAGAGATATTTCGGAATAACTTAAACTGGATGTAAAGTTCACTTATATTAGATAAATTAATTCGATAAAATTGGAGAATTCATCGTAAAGTAATTGTGATATAAAATAAATCTTAACATATTAAAAATTTTGTAATTATTAATTATTTTTATCTTATGTAACATAAATACTTTCTTTTTGTTTTCATTTACTATTATAATTTAATTTAATAAATATTTTGATTTTTTAAAATTTAAATTGTATTACAATTTACTTCCTCTCAGATTGTATTATTATTTTCTTTGATTTTTAAATATTATATTAAATAATTTTATTAATTAATAACTTTATTATTATTTGTCATAAAACAAAAAAATCTTGACTCAATAATATTAGATAAATATACAAGATTCATATATAAAAATTTTTATTGTAATATCCTTTGACCTTTATTATTTATTATATTAATTCTTCAATCATTCTTAATTCAGAATTATATTTCAAAATTCAAAATTATCTTCATCCTTTCTTTCTACCATACAAATTTATAATAAAAATTTTCAAATAAATATCTAATCTAATTTAAGAATAAATTTAGAAATCTTAACAAAAATCAACCGTCAAAAAGGAAATAAAAATTACAACGAATTTCAACAATTAGAATCACTAGTTAGCATACAGTAGCAGTTATAACCGACCTATACTACTGTTTGAAGTATATCTTCGCGAATGACATCGCCTCTTCTCCTTCCCTTATCCCCAACCAGACGAAACCAACACAAATCCAAACATCAATTTTCGCAAATAACCAGAATAAATCTGCCACGATTCAACTTCTCTCCAACCGTTTCTTTATCGTCCCGTGTTTTCTAGCCCGTCTAAACGAGCCATCGATCATGGGGGATCACTGTAGACACCTCGAGGGGAGAGAGCGTCACGTTTCCCCTTTGACGTCCCACGATTAGCAGTTATCTCGGCTAATCGGTGTTCTGGGGTCTCTGTCGCAGACGAATCCGGCGCGCATAAGAAGCGAGCAAAGCGGCGGGGCGGCGGCGGCGTCGTCCGGAAGCGAGGAGCAGAGAAGAAACGGCGTGGTGCCGGCGCCGGTCCCGATACCGGTCCCGGTGCACGTGCCCCTCGGACCGAGCAGAAAACAGGGGCAAGAGGCCACGTTTCCTTTCGGCCAGGTACGCTCGCACTACGGTCCAAAGTGGCTAAGAGCGTAAGTCCTCATCGAGTGCACCAGGAGTGCTCGAGCGGAGGGGAGGTGCAGGTACAGGTGCAGCAGGAGAGACGAGCACCGAGGCGCATGCCTTACCTGGGGCCTGATATGACAACCCGGCTATCCGCCATGTTTTACACGGTCGAAGTCGGGGACACCAGATTCACCATTCTCAAGCGGTATCAGAATTTGAAGCCGATCGGTTCCGGTGCACAGGGAATCGTTTGGTGAGTATCTAAATATCGGTAAGTCGAAAATAATTATTGTTAGGGTTAGTTTGATTTTTTTGATTGATTTTACTTCGTTACGACCTTGAGTGGTCTTAAGTGGTCTTTCGAAGAGATTAATAGAGGAATAAACCGATATTGGTGTAATATGAAAAGTCAGACGATTCTAATATTTTTATAATGAAACCACGAATCGATGTAATGATTGATAATTTGGAATATAGAACCTTGTGTTTAGCAAATAAATTATTTATTAACAATAATAATTTTTTAATAATAATATAATTTTACTTTATTGATTTTTAATTATAGTTAGAGTTACAAAAGTTCAAAATTCAAGTTTTCCTAATAAGCAAAAATCTTTGTTTATTTAGTTCGATAATATTCGTTTTTATTTAGAGATTATTAGACAAATCTAATTAACATCTAACTGATATCTGTCCGTGTCTACGTCTTTTTATTAACATTTCTTAGATCAACGAGTATAAGTCCAATTATAAGTCCTGTCTCAAGATGTTTAAAATCCTGTCTAAGTAAAGTGAAAGTCCTGCCCATTCCAATTTGGGTCACCAGATATTACTCTTACACGCGGTTAATTATCGGTAATTAATTCCAATGTCCATTATTACAGATCCAAATATCCATTATGACGTCTCTATAACATTCACTACTTAATCCTGAGAAAGATAAGATATTTTATTACTATTGAGCAGAAAGTACTTGAAGGCTTCACAAATAATAATTGAATATTCTCTGTTGGTAATAAAATATATACATTGAAAGTAAGTTAAATATTTGAGATTTTCGTATTATAAACTTTAGAATGAAATGAACTTTATTTTGAAGTATTAAAATTTGTTTTGAACATTTCTTTGTGGATTCTTCTATGTCAATCCTTTTATAGGATTTTGACGTAGAATTTTTAATTGTAGAAATTAATTGATTCAAAAGTTATATATTTATAAAGTTTCACATTTTGATTTTTTATGTAATTGAAGAATAAAAGCGTCAATACACGTCAAATTAATTAATTAAAGATCTATATGATACAATTAATTATTTATTCAATAAAAAAAATATATTGTTAAATCGCGTCAACGATATGCAAAATCATATTTATATATTGTATGTTCTTTTTCTCACATCGGATCGCAATATTTATTTAAAATTAAATTAGATTTTAATTCTCGGATATTTTATAACAGTTGTGCTAGTATGATTCTAGTTGTGATAGTATGAAATTTGAAATTTAAATTTTGACACTTTAAGCAAAGTGAAATTTGAATTTAACGCTGATGTTTCGAATTTGAAAATTGAAAAATTCAACATATATACAATTTATAAAAATAATAAATTGAAAATTTTATATCAAACTTTTATATCAAAAAATATCCAGAAATTAATATTATCATCCTCAAAAATATAACCTCAATCTATCATATTTCATAAAATGTAATCTTGAAATATCTTATTTTAAAGAATATTTAAACATTGAATCTTTAATAATTGTATTGCAATTATCTTTCACAATAATGGACAAAAAGTAAAGTCATTTTGAGTCGTCCTTTCAATTTTATTTTATTTACGTAATCGCAATAAGCGCAGTTAGAATTCGCTTCGTAACAGTAAAAAAATAATCGAGGTTATGACCAATTATAAATACACGTGTACTTATTTAGACATGTTTGTTTCAGCGCGGCGTACGACACGGTGACAGCGCAGAATGTCGCGATCAAGAAACTCTCGAGACCTTTTCAAAACGTTACGCACGCGAAGAGGGCCTACAGGGAATTCAAGCTGATGAAGTTGGTCAATCACAAAAACGTAAGTTTTTTTTCCTCCGTGTCGCAATAAATCTTGCGATTCGAAGATTATTTTTTGCCGGCAGATAATCGGTTTGTTGAACGCGTTCACGCCACAACGGTCCTTGGACGAGTTTCAAGACGTTTACTTGGTGATGGAACTTATGGACGCGAATTTATGCCAGGTAATCCAGATGGATCTGGATCACGAACGTATGTCTTATCTGCTTTATCAAATGCTGTGCGGCATCAAACACTTACACTCGGCCGGTATCATTCACAGGGTGAGTGATTTCGTATTTCCGGCAACGTTAAATCGTATGTGTTATTAACTCGGTGCTTCTTGTCCATTACTGGCGGGTAGGATTTAAAGCCGAGCAATATAGTGGTAAAGGCTGACTGTACATTGAAGATTCTCGATTTTGGCCTGGCCAGAACAGCCGGGACCACTTTTATGATGACGCCATACGTTGTGACACGATATTATAGGGCGCCAGAGGTGAGAATAAGAAAAAATAAATTAACCGTGTAGGGTAATGGATATCATGTAAGTCTCTGGAATTCGAATTTCGAGACAGATCGGTTATGTTTTGACAAGATCGGGCTAAATCTCGATAATTTTATATAAGATTCGATTAAGATATATAAATAGACAAAAATAATCCAATGTGAAATTTAATTATATATATACTTCATCTCCCCTTAATGTTTTAAATCGTTAACTGTATAATTTTATTTTAAAAATGAATAATCTGTGTGCGTAATTAAAATTAAGGAATAACGAGTATATTTGTCAAACAGGAAATAAAAAATTAAATTAAAATAAATTAAATATCTCTTAGCTTTCAGTAAAATTTTAATTCAAATAGCAAAAGATAATTTTTTTTTTTTTCGTATAACGAAATATTCATTATAACGAAAGAAATAGCCACTTTTTCGTGTCAAGTATACTCCTCGAATACAACAGTGAAAAAGTTAGATTTCAAGTTCTTAAACCGATCTCGTCCGATTTTTACCGAGCTGACCCGAATATTCTGAGTAAAATTTTAATTTAAATAGCAAAAGGTAATTTTATTTCGCAACGAAATATTCATTATAATAAAAGAAATTGCCACTTTTTCGTGTCAAGTATACTTCTCGAGCAGAATAGTGAAAAACTTAGATCTTAAGTTCTTGAACCGATCTTGTCCGATTTTTACCGAGTTGACCCGAATATTCTAATTAATAGAAGTTTTCGCCCGATTTCATCCGAATTTTCCCGACTTGTCCCGAGCCCAGAATCTCGAAAATTCGCACATTTTTTAAATAAAGAATCGCGTGTTAATTATTTATTCATTCTTTACGTACCATGATTCCGACGGTATGTCGGCTCGCAGGTGATCCTCGGGATGGGATACAAGGAGAACGTGGACATTTGGTCGGTCGGGTGCATAATGGGCGAAATGATTCGGGGTGGCGTCCTCTTTCCCGGAACGGATCACATCGACCAATGGAACAAGATAATCGGTAGGTCGCCGTGATCGCTTCCCTCCGTGTACTACACCCAGGAACGTGCGTGCTTTAACACGCGCGGCTGGACGTTGTTGCAGAGCAACTGGGAACGCCGGCGCAGGAATTCATGCAGCGGCTCCAGCCTACGGTCAGGAATTACGTGGAGAACAGGCCACGGTATCCGGGATATCCGTTCGACAGGTTATTCCCGGACGTCTTGTTTCCATCGGATTCGTCGGAACACAACAGGTTGAAAGGTAAGCTTGTAGAGAAAAGTTTATCTTAAATTATTAGATTAAGTATATAATAAGAGATAAAAATATTTGCATAAAACTATTTTTTTGATAATTAGATCTTATTAATTTGAAATATAAGTTGCTATATTAAATTTATCAAATTTATCAATGTTTGAAATATGTTAAATTATGTAGTCTTTTCATGAAAACGTTTAATGAAATATTTGAATATTATTTTCAAATCTTGTTCATCAAACAATCATTATTATATTATTTATAATAAGTCTTTCTTGATAATACAATGTATTACGTATATCATTTTGTATTTTTTATACTCTCTGATTATATACTATTTTTATTGATTGATAAAATTCAAATCTCTTCAACAATATCTAAAAACATCTAAAAAATTAAATTTTATATAGTACATAATAATTTATAACATATAAATCTTCTTTTAATAAATTCATATTTAAATTTATATTTAAAAATTATGTAATTTTTAGTTATTTCATGATTATTTCATTTAATAGATGTTTGAATTCAATTAATTATGATGATTGATATTTTATTTTAGTAAAATTATTTTAAACTATTTTAACGATCAATCTAAACATATACGTTTTATTCGAAATACATAGATCTAGCACTGGATTTGCTACCTTTTTACTATGCTGCTCCTCTTCCATACGTTTTTTCTTTTCCTTTTATGTTCCAGCTAGTCAAGCCAGGGATCTATTGTCGCGCATGCTCGTGATCGACCCCGAACGACGCATCTCCGTCGATGATGCTTTACTACATAATTACATAAACGTGTGGTACGACGAGGGCGAAGTCAATGCCGTAAGTGTCACCGATTCGTCGTTAATCCCGTTAACCATGTTCGTTTCACTCATATCTCCCTCTCCATCTTCCATTTTATCTATCAATGTTTCGGGAGTGAAGAGATGGTGGTGGGAGAGAGAAGAAAAGTATCGACCGATTCGAGTCGCGTTCCATCGAATACGTAGTCATTCCTTGGTAAAGGATGGGAAAGAAAAAAACGATGATTGTTAGGTAGTATCGCGTTTGTTACAGCCTGCACCAGGTCCGTACGACCATAGTGTCGATGAGAGGGAGCATACGGTGGACCAGTGGAAAGAGCTGATCTACCAGGAAGTGATGGAATACGAGACGAGCCATAATCCCACAACAGTAGCTCAAACGTCCGAGAGCGGAGAATCCCGGTAGACACGCAAGAACTACTTGCTATCTTTTTGCGTCAACGACGCATCTAGACTGTCCGATCTGTTATACGTACATATATATACACACGTATCCCTCCCGTATACACACAGGCATGCATACAGAGACACACACAAAACCGTATTTCAATATAAGCGTGTGTATATCTATGTATGTACGTATATGTATATATACATATATACATACACATATATGTAGTATATATATATTTCGTGGAAATATAAAGATGGGAAATAACGATTAGAAATCGTTTACGTCCATGGGAATGATGTACGTTAAACGAAGCGCCGTTTTCGTTCGACGAGGCCAGAAAGAAAACAGGCGAGACGAAATGAATAAAATTGGAAGTGAAGAGAAACACAAAAGAAATGTGTGTGTATGAGAGAGAGACAGAGACAGACGAAAAGTGAATGAGTGAGTGAGTGAGTGAGTGAGTGAGTGAGTGAGTGAGTGAGTGAGAGAGAGAGAGAGAGAGAGAGAGAGGGAGAGAGAGATTGAAAGTGAGCGAACGATAGTGTACGAAAGAAAAAAAGAAAAAAGTAATGATAAAGATAAGATGAAAGGAAAAAGATAATCGATGAGAAAGAGAAAGAAAGATACGAGGTAAGAGGAGAGGGGGGAGAGAGAGAAAGAAAGAAAGAGAGCTGTTACTTGAGGCATAACGAGCGCGCGTTTGCGAAAACGAATTCAAGATAAAAATCAATATCTGCAACCAAAGCATCGACACGATTCGGAGGTCTGCCAATCTGAACGCGTTTATTCGACAAACGGCAACGCGCAATATGTTCGTCATTCTGTTTCCGCTCGGTCTTCTCGTTCTACGTTTCAGACGTATTTATTCCCAACAAATATTCTCCGTGACCGTGAGTTTAATAAAGAAACTTGCAACAACACGTTTGTCAATCGATCCCAAAGCCTGGAGTTTGTTTTTTTAAATTGACCATAAATAATTCGCCGTCTTCGTTCGCGTCTCATCTCAATTATATCGCGAGTCGAACCGAACGCCGATTCTTCACACCTTCGCCTTCTTTTCGTTTGCTTTCTTTACTTTCTATACTTTCTCTACTGCGCTTATTTTTCTTTGTTCCCTTTCCTTCGATCAAATATCACTCGATCTAATCCTAATCACTCTATTAATCCTTATGTCAATGTCAACAATTTTTGACATCTTCTAATTTCAATATTTTTTTAATAATAAAATTTTAAATTTTAAATATAAATAGCAATGTATCGAGCAACGATGATCTAGCTCAATTTAAAAATCTTTCAAAGAAGAATATTTGATATTCTATCATAAGTAAAAAAGTATATAGATACTTATTGATATTGACATAAAGGTTGAACGAACATAGAAAACCGGTTGAAACAAGCAATTGCCAATAAACTGCCGAAAAAAACTTGTCTCGGTTCGCGATCGTGTCGTCTCTTTATTACTGCCACCATGTTGAACGAGTCACTCTTTTCTCCATGCGTACACGATCGATTCATCGATTCGTTGCGTTCGTTCTAATACGAACATACAATAAAAAACGAAAATGATCGGGACGCATCAGCTTTCATCGAGAATAACTTCTTTGTTGTCGCGTATTATGGCAAGATGATTGATGACGATACACGACGCGCGATATAAAATGCGAGTGGAACACGTGAGAAGTGTACTGCTTGAAGTAAGTACATGTTCGAAAAATGATAGGATCGATTAAAGGGTGGGGAATTGTCGGTAAGTAAGATATCGTCGATCGTAACGAACGCAACTTTCTACGTAATTCCGAAAGCGTCCAAAGAGTACAGGGTGTCGCTAAATACAAGAGCTCGAGCATTCCCTTTTCCAAGTCCGAATTTCAATTTGCCGTGATTTACGCGTTTAATCGTTGAACAAGAACATTGTGTATTTTTATAATGCGATTCGAAATGCGTGCTTTTCTCTCATCGTTTTCGCGCGCTCGTACGCCAGCCGATATTTTATAATGCTAATACTTTGTAAGATGGAAAATCCGAGAAGGGATGCGAAAAGAAAGCGGAGGATATCCACCGATATATTTAAGAGATAAGTCATAAGAGAAATGATTATCGAACACGATGTCACGGTCGAATTTTTAGAAAACTGAAAGTGCAATGTCGCGGCGATTGATCTTCGAATATCACGACGACGTTATTCGCAGTTATACTTGTCGATTGTATTTAGCTAGTTAGTTCCTTAGGTAAAAACTCGTTTTCCTTGTGCAATCGTGCGATATCGTTGTGCCATCGCATGACGATCAATGCCGACGCGATAACAACTAGAATATACATATATGATATATAATATATAAATCTTTCTATATATTATATTATATATTATATTATATTATATT